GTTTCTTCAAACGGTTTTGTGGGTTCTCTGCGAAAGTGACTTGTGTATTTCTTACTTTTCAAAAGCAATGGATAAATTATCGGGACTAAATACTTTTCGAGTCAGAAAATCTTCAACATTTTTAATCAGTTTAGGGCTTCAAGTGTACCGTAGAAACTTGGACATTGCCATCTTTGCATGGAGCTGGTCACTTGAAATTGCTTTTACAGTCCCTTTATGAATAGTATCTGTGTAATCTGTGGTATTTTTCACTGTTCTGTGTTTAGTTTATGAAAAGTATCTGTGTAATCTGTGGTATTTATAACTGTTCTGTGTTTAGTTCATGAATAGTATCTGTGTAATCTGTGGTATTTATAACTGTTCTGTGTTTAGTTTATGAATAGTATCTGTGTAATCTGTGGTATTTATAACTAATCTGTGTTTAGTTTATGAATAGTATCTGTGTAATCTGTGGTATTTATAACTGTTCTGTGTTTAGTTTATGAGAAGAATAATGAGGTAGGAACTGAGAGGAGAGAATTCTTGGCAAATCTCGAAAAGGAAAAGTAAAAAAACAATGCAAAAATTACCCCAGCAGGGGTTTCATTGTAATAACATTTCTCATGATTAGTTATTATATGCACCGAATTTACTGGCGTCTATTTCGTAAAATGTGACATTTTATATTTTTCTGAAGACTGTTAAAACTGCTTGGCAAATTTTTTAGAAACACTCCGTAACCCCCTTCCAAATAGTTTTCGTCAGGATTTTTTCAATAAAAATACAGTGGGATTCAGAAACTTGTGGAATAGAATCACAACATTTTACCTTCAGAACTTTGCATTTGATTAACTTGAAAATCAAACTGATCAAAAATAGGTCTGCATGTTTTTCATGTTCAATGGAGTATTTAAAATCATAACTCGAGTCTAACAATCGTCTTACTATTCCACAGTGTTAAAGGTCCTATTGTACGCAATCTTTTATTTTTTTGTCTAAAGGAAATATTAGAGAGAAAAGAAGAGAGAGGTCAAAAATTTATTTTGCGCATCTTGCAAATGTGTTTTTTTATTTTTTTATTGTTTTTTATTTTTAACAATACTTCCTTAGCGGTGTGTAGGTTATATATATTTAGATTAAACATACTTTGATTCCTTTAGAGATCAATTGTCAACATTCCAGATTCAAAAATGAGAATTTTTAAAAACCCATTGACCTTTTCCATTTGACTTTTTATTCTTATTCAATATCTGTTAAAGACAACTCCTGCACGGCCCAATCAACCTGTTAAAAAGATATGATAATTAGGATAATGTTTCTTTTTAAATCTACTGTGCATCCGAGGGGAGGAAGGCCAGTCACAACAATTTCTCGTCCGAGCCACATTCTCCTCATTTTCTCGTCTGAGCCACCTCCGAATCCCTGCCCTTCGATTATTTTGTTGGATCAATCACTGAACATCTAATCTGGTAAAGTAAATATATTGATATAGATTAAAGTGCCCAGAATGGTTGCAATTATTATAATCTTTTTTCTATTTTAATCAGTTGATCTGGTCACGTGATATGGACGTATAAATGATATCATCTTTTATAAATGAAAAATTATTAAATTCAAATAATAATAGAAGCAAACCTAATTTTCGTAGGCTCCTCTTGGATATCGTTGTTTTCAGATTGGTTGTGTCTTTGCTGAATATAATCAGATTAAACCTACTATTTTTATACAAATTTTATATATATAGATTTTCGTATCAATTTCATGCAGTTTTATATCAATTTCTCGAAACAGGAACACCAGATAAAACTGTCATGGGTCTCGATCAACTCCTAAAATAATTAGGCTTCAGCCTATGCCCTCTTTGATTTTTCCTTTACAGCTTTAGCTTTTCATCCTCATAATGACAGAAGATAGATCTCATTCTTCTTATTTTGATATGATTCAACATATTTGATTTATATTGTTTTGTGTCGCCTATTCATGTTTAAATCTTGCAAATCTTTAATTTTAAATACATTTATATTTGTTATTTATTAATGCAATTAGAGATTATTTTGGGGAAAACATTTATTTTTTAACCTGATGTTTCACGAAATCGGGCAATGCTTATGATAACGAATACTTGGAATTTTTTACAATGAATACAAAAATAAGAAAAAGATGTGAATTAGTCTCAGTAAAAAAAAATTCTTTCATTACTCTGCAGCATTTTATTCGTGAAGAATTATCACATTATTATTATATTTATAGTTTAGAAACTGATACAATTTTGGTTATTTTCATCAATAAAATTTGTCAATACAATAATGTTTTGAGAAATCGCTGAAAAGGTGACTGGAGGTGCGTCTCAACTGAACCCTCGGTCTTACTGATGAAATCTTTGTATTAATCTATAGATATGTATAGTGAATCCATAGCTGGGAACTTTTGAATGGTGGATATCGGGAACAATGCTTGATCCACTCTTTTTCTTAATCTCGAGACTAAATAAGGCTTGTTCTCCTCTTGTTATTAATCTCCAGATTGATTAAGCGATCGGAATTAAGGATATCCCATTCTTAAGTTTTCAGCTCATTTCTCTTTTTTGTCTGTCTGCTTGTTTGTTACCCATCTCCGTCGGCTGAACCAAATTGTCTTAGCACTCCTGTATGCTGAGTCCATTAGAGCCTGATCGAATCAGAGTTCAGTCATGTGTTTGTTGTCTATTCTGAACCAATAGAAATTGCTTGGCGGTAACATCTATCTTTCTATAATCTAGCCCATTATCTAATTAGAGATAGAATCCTTATATCGGCGCTAACAGTAAATGGAAATATTTACTTCTACAGAAACTATAATGTTAGAGGAATTGAGTCTTTGCCACACACTTAAATTTTTAAACTCCTATATCTTTATAACCTGATGGTGTAAAACTTTTGATATTTCATGCTTAAAGTATTTGATCTAACAGAATTCATAGCTTAAAATATCTAAAGTCTACGACATGGGGTGTGAATATTGGGGTTAAAAAATCAGCGTTTGTGGCAAGGACTCAATCCCTTTGTGTGCAAGAGAAACCCTTAGTCATTAATTCATTTATTTCTTAAAATTGTTTCTCGAAAATTAACGAAATAGCTCGATATAACGAAATAGGTCAAAATAACGAAATAGCTCGAAATAACGAAATAGCTCGAAATAACGAAGTAGGCAAAAATAACGAAATAGGTCGAAATTTAACGAAATAGTTCGAAACAATGAAATAGGTCAAAATAACGAAATAGGTAGAAATTTAACGAAATAGTTCGAAATAACGAAATAGCAGGAAACAACGAAATAAGCAAAAACCAAGATTTCTTCAGACTGCGAAATTATATCGAAATTTTTTGCAATTTTTACTCGAAACCTAAAATAATCTTTGCGGAATTATTGCACTATTTTGCCCTAAAAGGAAGAGATAGCCCATTGAAAAATTGTCAAGACGACATTTGATAAATTCTTTTGATGTATGGCTCATTTAGGGTTTAACTATAGCTAATGTGGTTTCTTTCATATTTACACCTGCGATGCGACATACTTTAAACATATCATTATAGTATTAACTGTAATTCAAGATAACCAAGATAACACAATGAGAAACTACAAGGAAGACGACTTTTAAACTCTGCCTAAAAGCTTAAACGTATAGTAAGGGATAAGGTGACGACATGACATGATGACCTGAATCTCCTTATATGTGAATATCTGAAGTTTGACTGTAAAATGTTTGTTTTAATGTTATTTCAACTCACCGTCCCTTTAAATAACGTTTATAACTTGCAGGGGTGTGTCTGTCAGTCTAAGATGTGTGTGTGTCAGTCTATGATCCCTTTAAATAACGTTTATAACTTGCAGGGGTGTGTCTGTCAGTCTAAGATGTGTGTGTGTCAGTCTATGATGTGTGTATGTCTGTCAGTCTATGATGTATATGTGTTTGTGTCAGTCTATGATGTGTGTGTGTCTGTCAGTCTAAGATGTGTGTGTGTCAGTCTATGATGTGTGTATGTCTGTCAGTCTATGATGTATATGTGTTTGTGTCAGTCTATGATGTGTGTGTGTTTGTGTCAGTCTATGATGTGTGTGTGTGTCAGTCTATGATGTGTTTGTTTGTCAGTCTATGATTTGTGTGTCTGTCAGTCTATGATGTGTGTGTCTGTCAGTATATGATGTGTGTGTGTGTGTATGTGTGATCAGTCTAAGATGAGTGTTTGTGGATGTGTCAGTCCATAATGTGTTTGTCTGTCAGTCTATGATGTGTGTGTCAGTCTATGATGTGTATGTCTGTCAGTCTTTGATGTGTCTGTCACTATTAGTCTATGATGTGTGTCTCTGTCAGTCTATGATGTGTATGTCTGTCAGTCTATGATGTGTGTGTCTGTCAGTCTATGATGTGTATGTCTGTCAGTCTATGATGTGTATGTCTGTCAGTCTATGATGTGTATGTCTGTCAGTCTATGATGTGTATGTCTGTCAGTCTATG